ACCTCAGAGGCCGAGACCCCTTCCCCGAGGCTGCGTTCTGATCCCCGGTTGTCTTCTGACGGCTGTGGGCCGGGCCCGGAGAGGGCCCTGGGAGGCCGAAGATCACCAAACAACTCCTGTCGGGCTTTTGCTCGCACGCAAGCGTTGATCAGGAGGGAAAAAACACACAGACACAAGGAGCCGTCGATTCCCCAGAAGATATGGGAACATGTGGGAAGTGGGGGGAAGACAAAAACGCAGAAAATATAAGAAAAAATTGGGAATCCTGTTATTTGTGTGTATTTATCTGTGTGTCCCAGGGCCCCTTCAATTGAGAGGACTTCGGGGACGAATGGGTAATTGGAGGTCGGTGGATTCTGCCCTGAGTCCATCCACCCTCAATTTGCCCCTGACCGACGGCCCCCCCCCACTCGGGCCGAGCGAGGAGGAGAAAGGAGGGGGGGGCGGACAGGGTGAGAGGAATCTTGGGGGAGAGGGACGGACCGTGGGGAGAGTGGAAGATGGCCAGGAAGGGGATGGGGGGAGGAGGATGGGGGCAGGGGGATGCAGGATGCAGGAGGAGAAGGGCGAGAAGGGGGGGAGAAGTAGTGCAGTGAAGGAGATGACGAGGATGATTGTACAAAGGATGAGAGAAGGAGTAATGCGAGACGATTGAGGACAGGGGAGCGGGGGGGTATGGGGCTGAAAAGTTGGCGAGGATGGTGTGCCAGGGGAGAAGGGGTGTTGAGGAGCTGGGAGGAAGGAAGGATGTAGGTACGTTACGCATGCAGGAAGGCAATCAGACTGGGGCGGCGGGGAGGCGACCTGCCTGGCGACCCTTGTGGAAAGCTCTGTATGTATGCGGCCCTTGCGGCAGCCTGCAACCGCGAGCGAGCTTCCTTTAAGATCGCCTGGGGCCGTCAGAACCTACGGCGTCTCCACATTCAGGTGAGCAGAAGAGCGCCACCACCTTCACGTTGCCCCCCTTCCCAAAGGGGAGGGCCAGGCGAGGGGGGAGAAGACCTATTGTGCTTCTTCTGTGAGAGTTGGGAGCTGGAGCTCCTCTGGCCCAGCCCCACAGGGGGGGAGGGGGTCCAGGTAAGGGTGAAGGTGAAGGCGCGCCTTCTCTCCGGAAGCCCAGACATCCGACGTCGTGTGGTTTTGTATTTTAACACTTCGCTCCCCAAATGTCTGGATTACCCCAGGGACTTGATCTTCGTCGCGCCTTGACGGCCCTCCAGCCTGTGCGAGCCCCCAGGGGCAAACAAAAACGGAGATAAGATCCTGTCGTGATGTTTTCTGCCACGGCGCGAAGATGTCTCCGAGCATGGTTCGGGCCGGGCGAAAGGGGGGGATAGCAAAGAGGGGGGTTTGAGAATCAGCTCACATGGCAGACTTTCCTGGCGCCTCCCGGCGCCCATGGATCGAGGGATGGGCCCCTCGGTGGGGCCGAAACCAGCTGCATGCCGCAGATTTCGTAACCCCCCCTTCCCCTATCCTAAAACAGGGCTAGGATCGGGATAAATCGCTCCAAAGCGTTCCGGAGCGCTCTCAGAGCGTTCCGGAACGCTCTGGAGCGGCCGCGGCGCCCAATACATCCTCCAAAGCCGCCGATTCTCAGAGATTTCGAGTTATCCCGATCCGATTTTGTCCCGATCTTCGCGTCGTTTTACCTTTCCCTATCCCCCCCTCTCGTCCAGCCCGAGTGGTGGGCGGGGGAAGAGAAAGAAGCCGGACGAGAAACATATTCTAACTTCGCGTCCGGCCTCCTCCGGTCCCCCCTCCCGGTTCTCGAGGCGCGGGGCCGCCTTCGGCAGAGGGCAGCACCGTGCGCGCAGGGCGCCCGCACACGTGGCGCGTCGGGGCGCCAGGTCCGCGGATCGTGGGAGGCGCCCCCACAGATTAGGAAGCAACTGCTGGGAGGTCCTCGTCGGAAGGATTAAAATAAAAAGAATTAAGCGCCATTGGGGGGCTGTTACGCCGGAGTGGGCCTCGGATTAAGCCGGATCAGGCGGGATCAAGCGGGATGAAGCTGGATTCAACGGGCTTAAGCGGGATTGAGCCGGATTTCGGACCAGGGCAAAATCAGAATTTGACCTTCCAGGAGTTGCATCCGAACACAAGCATGAGGCCAGTGGTGGAAAGCTTTGCGTTGGGCACAAACAGCCACGACACGTAGTCCCGGCTGGCCTCAACATGCCCCCTGGTAGCCTGAGCCGGTCTCAGCACCCTGGCGCCACCTCCTGGGGTGGGGTGTCGAGAACGCCTAGGGCTACCCGGGGGGCCTGTTAAGGCCAGCCAGTGGTTATCTGGGGGGTTGCCTGTGCGCAACCCGAAGCCTCGACAGCCAGAGCCGCCTGATTTGGCGGCGGAGCGCGCCGATCCTGTGCGGAAGCGGGGCCCCGTCACTAACCCGACCGCCTTAATCCATGTACTGCGCTTCCTCGAGACAGGAGAGCGCGACGACCCGGGGGGTGCCAGAGGTGCCTGGGAGTGGGCCCTCGCGGGCCCCGTGGGAGTGCTCCCGGGAGGCCACCCTCGGCAATGCGCAAGGAATGACCCGTTTCTGAGACCTGACAATGCAGCGGCAGCACATGGTAAGAACCACCAGACGTTTCTAGGTTCCTTTGGGTTGTGCTCGGCTTGCAGCGTCGGCGAAGAAACCGCAGCTGGCAGGGTGCCCTGAGTCTCTTGTGCGCCGGGGCGATTTGTGGAGCGCGCCCGAAGGTTCAAGGAATCAACAAGCATGGAGTGTGCAATGGGTTTCTTCGCTGGCAGCCGCTAAGCAAGAAACCGAACAATGGTCCAAGAAACTGATGCGATTTTCAGGAGTGGGGTATCTTGGGATTGTTAATGTTGTGGACTGTTCTTGCGTGTATGGCTCCAATGTGTTGCCCAAGAGGGGCCCGAGAGGCGCCCAAGGAGGGGCCCGAGAGGGACCCACCCAAGAGTGCCCAAACAGTCCACTTCTAGAGCTCGATGAGGGAACCGAAATTAAGGATCCCCTTCTCTTCGATCGATGGTCTCCAGGATGGCACCCAGAGGTAGACAAGAGCTACCTTGGGTGCGCGGCTGATCGCCGCGTGCGATGCGGGTCATCGGCGGCCTCGCGAATGGGCTTGGCCCCCGCGCGCCCCCCGAAAGTCGCGCACCAAGGGTCACTCTGGCGAAGAGTCGCTCCTACGCGTAATCGGGGGCGGTCAAGAGGGGGGCGTCCAAGAGGGAAGGGCGGCAAATCATGGCCGGAGGTATGTGCGCGGCCCAGGGGGGAGACAGGGGACGCATTCAAATAAGAAGAGGCACCATAAAATTTGGGGAGATGTCATGGCCCCCGCCATGATATCCCCCCCCCAGTCATCACCCCCCTCTTGGCCGCCCCCCACGTAGCCGACGCCCCTGGGCCATCCCTTGTGAAGCCGGGGCCGCCCTGTGCTAGCAGCAGGGCGCGGCGACGGCGAGAACCAAAGAAAGTCGTGCAGAACGAGCTCCGAGACCTCTAAAAGCCGACGTCTGGAGAAAAATGCATCGGGCGCCGCTGCCGTTACATATTGCTCCTGGAGCGTTCTGGGAACGCTCTGGAGCGATCTGCGGGAATCAAACGGTACAAGGGGTACATTCTGATCATAATTCCGTGGCACATCTAGTCGTGGCGGCGAGGAAGGATAGATAGTAGTGTCTGAAACTTTCCCTCTTGTGAGATCCGTCTTCGTCCTAGGCTGAGGTTGGGCATGTCCTCGTACAGGCGGATGTCGAAAGAACAACATATCAAAAGGTCAAAAGAGCACGACAACTCGTCACCATCCAATGCTGTACTACTCTTGGGCAATCCTCCTGTAGCAGGACATGCCCGACTTCATCCTATGTCTGCCTGACCACGGAGACCTCTGGCAGCACCCGTGTGAGACGTGACGGACCCGGATCGCCGACGTCATGTTTTGCTTCATAGCGTCGACCCCCAGAGGTCTCGGCACGATCTCAAGTGGCCTGTCTGCTCCTCCCGAATCGCTCTCTGGCGGCCCCGAGGGTCCGGTGCAAGGGCTTCCAGAGGTCGAAAATAGAACGACAGGCCTCCGACCCTGGGGCCGGGCGAAAGGGGGGGATAGCAAAGGGGCGGGGTTTGAGAATCAGCTCACGTAGCTGATTTTCCTGGCGCCTCCCGGTCCCGGCGCCGGGAGGCGCCCGTGTATCGATGGGCCCGGCGGCGGGGCCGAAGCCAGCTGCATGCAGCAGACTCCGTACCCCACCTTCCCCTATATCCCCCCTGTCGTACGGCCCGAGAACCGCGGGGGTCTGGTCTGGGTCCCCCCACCCCCCCCTGCGGAGCCTCCGGGGGACGCGGGGGGGACTCCCCAGGCCACCCGGCAGCTGCGCGGCCTCGCCCCGACGCCCGCGGACGTGTGGCGCAGGCGAGGGCCCTGGCGCACAGCAGCCCACTGGGCGCGCGCGCGGTGCGCGCTGCTCCGGGAGGGGTGCGCCGCCCAGGGTCCGCGCCTGGGGCCAGGCCTCCCCCATCATCCCGCCTCCAGCTCGATGCGATGTTCGATCCCCTTTAACTCCTCCTCCTTCTCCCCCTCATTCTCCTCCTCCTCCTCCTCCTCCTCCTCCTCCTACTCTTCGGTCTCTTCGATCCCCGCCTCCGCCTCCTGCCTTCCCCCTCCTCCCCGATCCTCGATCCTCGGTCCTCGATCCGTCTCCTCCCCCTCCTCCTCCTCCTCCTCCTCCTCCTCCTCAGCCTCAGCAGCAGCAGCAGCAGCAGCAGCAGCAGCATCATCATCATCATCATCATCATCATCATCAGCAGCAGCAGCAGCAGCATCATCATCATCATCATCATCATCATCATCAGCAGCAGCAGCAGCAGCAGCAGCAGCAGCAGCAGCAGCAGCATCATCATCATCATCATCATCATCATCATCATCATCATCATCATCATCAGCATCATCATCATCATCATCATCATCATCATCAGCATCATCATCATCATCATCATCATCATCATCATCATCATCATCATCATCCCCCTCTTGGGTGTGGCCGCTCGGACTGTGCCGTCTGGCAGGGGCCTCGCGCGCGCGTTTTCTCGCGGCGGCGCTCGCGGCGCGCGCTGCGTGCACGCAGCTCGTCAGCAGGCGGGCCCGCTTGACGCAGGGAGGGCTGGAGGGGGGAAAGGGGAGGCGAAGCAAAACCCCCTCGAGCCATGTGAAAATCACGACGGACACCCAGATAACATATGAACATGTCTGTCTGTCTTCCTGTCTGTCTGTCGGTTGGTCGGTCGGTCTGTCTCTCTGTATCTGCAGGCTTGTTAGCATCTATGTGTTTCTGTTGCAAGTATTTCTAGAAATGGTCATATGTATACATGTTTATGGGTTACCAATAGGTGTATGTACTTAAGTATAGGTATATCGTTCACACTACCAATATACGCACACACATATAAATAGATGGACGCCCCCACCACCAAGATCTACCTCATCGTTCTTCTGCAGGGGTCAACCTCACTATGTGTTTCTCTCTTCGCCTCGTCGTGTAAGAAGAGGAGGAGGAGGAGGACGAGGATGAGGAGGAGGAGGGGGAGAGGAGGAGGAGGAGGAGAAGCAATATCATAGTAAAGTAACAGACGGATGGGATGAGGAGAACGGAGGAAGGAGGAGGAGGAGGAGGAGGAAGAGGAGGAGGCTTCCGCTTGAGAGGTCCCAGAAACCCAAACAGGAGAAGGCTGCCACCTGAGAGGCCCCCCAAAAAAATCGCCTGACGAAGGAGCCAACCATAAGCAGGTGTGAGTACCGCAATTGTGATTCCCTTTTTTTCGGAGGTGGTCCCTATGGGGCAACGAGCCGTGCTAGTGGTGTGCCAAAATGAATGGCGTGGTACACAACGCGACCGAAAAACGATTGATCTGAGAACGTAGGAAGACTGAGCGCGGGTGAATCTGAGCGCGACTGCGTCTGACTGTGAATGAATCTGCGTGCGAGCGAGTCTACGTGCATGAATGCGAGTATGCCAATGCATGGTACAATTGTATATGAATGTTAATAATTTGTGAACGACTGCCTCTGACTACTCGTGACGCTGGGCGTGGCCGCCGCAAGGAGCTTCCCTGGGACTCCCCGACGGCATCGCCCGCGCGCCGCGACGCCACCGCGAGGATCGCGCCCGCTTCCTCCCCTTCTTATACTCCCCCTTTGCCCGCGCACTCAAAGTCCAAAGCTGCGGGCGCAGCGCAGCGCGGAGTCCCAGCGACGCGCGCAGGTCGCCCCGGAGGGGTCCCAGCGACGCGCGCGGGTCGTCCGCTGCGCGCAGCAAAGAGAGCTAGCTGGCTGGCTGATAGCGGGCAAGGCTCTTGCCGCTGGGCAGAGCGACGACGGGCGAGGGAGGCGCGGAACCCCGACGGCCTCCGACGGAGGTGTACTGGGTAGTGGAGACGCGTGCGGACTGCGCCACGGGGACCTTCGGTGGAGCTCCCTATGGGGCCACGAAGCGCGTGAAGGGTGTGCCGAAATGGGTGTGCGGGACGAATGCGGGCACACCCACTCGGACCTTGGGGCGGTGTGAACTGCCACTATTCGGTGGCCATGGGGCCACGAAGCGTGTGAGGGGTGTGCCGAAATGGGTGTGCGGGACGCCTTCGGTGGATGGGGCCACGGGTGTGAGGGGTGTGCCGACACGCATGCGGGCACTGGGACCTTCGGTGGAGCTCCCTATGGGGCCACGAAACGTGTGAGGGGTGTGCCGAAATGGGCGTGCGGGACGCATGCGGGCACACCCACTGGGACCTTCGGTGGAGCTCCCTATGGGGCCACGAAACGTGTGAGGGGTGTGCCGAAATGGGTGTGCGGGACGCATGCGGGCACACCCACTGGGACCTTCGGTGGAGTTCCTATGGGGCCACGAAGCGTGTGAGGGATGTGCCGAAATGGGTGTGCGGGACGCATGCGGGCACACCCACTGGGACCTTCGGTGTGCCGAAATGGGTGTGCGGGACGCATGCGGGCACACCCACTGGGACCTTCGGTGGAGCTCCCTATGGGGCCACGAAACGTGTGAGGGGTGTGCCGAAATGGGTGTGCGGGACGAATGCGGGCACACCCACCGGGACCTTCGGTGGAGTTCCCTATGGGGCCACGAAGCGTGTGAGGGGTGTGCAGAAATGGGTGTGCGGGACGCATGCATGCACACCCACTGGGACCTTCGGTGGAGCTCCCCATGGGGCCACGAATCGTGTGAGGGGTGTGCAGAAATGGGTGTGCGGGACGCATGCGGGCACACCCACTGGGACTTTCGGTGGAGCTCCCTATGGGGCCACGAAACGTGTGAGCGGTGTGCCGAAATGGGTGTGCGGGACGCATGCGGGCACACCCACTGGGACCTTCGGTGGGGCTGCCTATAGGGCCACGCAATATGTGAGGGGTGTGCCGGAATGGGTTTGCGGGACGCATGCGGGCACACCCACTGGGACTTTCGGTGGAGCTCCCTATGGGGCCACGAAACGCGTGAGCGGTGTGCCGAAATGGGTGTGCGGGACGCATGCGAGCACACCCACTGGGACCTTCGGTGGGGTTCCCGATAGGGCCACGAAATATGTGAAAGGTGTGATGAAATGGCTGTGCGGGACGCATGCGGGCACACCCACTGGGACCTTCGGTGGAGCTCCCTATGGGGCCACGAAACGTGTGAGGGGTGTGCCGAAATGGGTGTGCGGGACGCATGCGGGCACACCCACTGGGACCTTCGGTGGAGCTCCCTATGGGGCCACGAAACGTGTGAAGGGTGTGCCGACATGGGTGTGCGGGACGCATGCGGGCACACCCACTGGGACCTTCGGCGGAGCTCCCTATGGGGCCACGAAACGTGTGAGGGGTGTGCCGAAATTCGTGTGCGGAGGAGGAGGGGGAGGAGGAGGAGAGGAGGAGAGGAGGAGAGGAGGAGGAGGAGACGCGGGCCACCGTCTCTTCAAAACGAGGACCCAACAACACAGATGGGAACAAACAAGATGAGGCTCCCGCCTGAGAGATCCAGAAAACAAGCTAAACAGAAGGAGGCTCTCGCCTGAGAGGTCCCAAAACAACCCAAACAGATGGATGCTCCCGCCTGAGAGGTCCCAGCTAAAACCTAAAAAGAAACCCAAACACCATGCCTCTCATCCCTCTAACTGCCCCGAATAACAAAAAAAAAGTTCCAGAGGGGATGGCGGCCCTTGTCAGTGCATCTGGGGCAGCGGCGTCGGATCGTTCCTGGATGTTATTTTTGTCTTGTTGTTGGACAATTGCAGGGATGATAGCCATGTTTTTGGGCATCTTTGAAAGTGTTGGGGGCCTCTCAGGCGGGAACCTCGATCGGTTTGGGTTGTTGAGACCTCTCAGGCGGGGGCATCAGTCTGTTCTTTTGGCCTCTCAGGAGGGAGCCTCATCTTGTTTGATTTTTCTGGGGCCTCTCCAGCGCGAGTTTCCTTTTGCTTGTTTTTTGGGTGAACCTCTCAGGCGAGAGCCTCGTCTTGTTTGGGTTTGGGGGGCCCTCAGGCGAGAGCCTCCTCCTGTTTTCTGGGGGCCTCTCAGGTGGGGGCCTCCTCACAGTGAGTAGTTTGACAACCTCTCAGGCGGGACCCGGCGTCAATGGTGATGGAACTGCCATCCAGGAAGGGGGAATCCAAGAGGAGAGGAAGGAGGAGGAGGAGGAGGAGGAGGAAGAGGACAAGGATGATGCTGAGGAAGATGCGGATGCGGATGCGGGTGCGGATGCGGAGGAACAAGGGGGGAGGAGGAGGAGGAGGAGGAGGAGGAGGAGGAGGAGGAGAGGAAGAGGAAGGGGGGGGAGGAAGAGGAGGATCATGATGGGTCCGCGACGGGGCACTCAGCGGGAGGGGAGAAGGGAGAAGAGGAGGAGGAGGAGGATCAGGAGGAGGCCGCGACGGGAAGCCCAACGAGGGAAGGAGGAGGAGGAGGAGGAGGAGGAGGACGAGGAGGGGGAGGAGGAGGAGGAGGAGGATGAGGAGGAGGAGGGGGAGGAGGAGGAGGAGGAGGAGGAGAGGGAGGAGTAGGAGGAGGAGGGGGGGGAGGAGGAGGAGGAGCAGAAAGAGGATCCCCCCCACCAGCGCCCACAGGGAGGCCATCTTCGAACGGGCCCATGCCAGCTCCGGAGGAGGGAAGGAAACCTCAGAATGATAACGCGGGGCGCAATTCTACTAAAATGGGTGTAGTGCCCAAGGTGTAGTCAAAGGCGCAGTGCCTACGTAGGATGAGGATGGTAGGGGAGGAGCCACAGCAGGGCGTAATGCTTTAGCTGTAGGGAGAAGAGCGCAATGCTCTAGGAGGGAGAGTGCAATGCTCTAAAACGCTGGGCGCAAGGCTCTTCACACGGGCGTAGTGCCCAGGGGTGTGAGTAAGGCGGGACGCCTGCTTTCTTCAGCGTAGCGCTGATTCTCTTTGGCCGCAATGCTCTCCGCGTGGGCGTAATGCCCACTGTGCACAGTTAGGCGCCACGCCTGCTTCGAGCGCGAAGCCGAATGCAGATTATCCGCCCAGCGCGTAGCAATTGAAAATGCACGCGAGCAAGTGCTTGCTCGCAGAAAATGCGTACTGCCAGCGAGCCCGAAACAGTTTCACAACCATTGCACCACCACGGGCAGTCAGGATGGTTCGTAGGTCGACCTTGGGAGACCCATGGCGCCCCTGTGCCCTGCATGCGCCGTCTCGCGGCCAACTCGTGTCCTCCAAAAATTCCAGGGCCGCGTTGCAATCGGGGGGGTCTCGTGCCCTCGCGGGCGCCCGTGCCAACCAATTCCGAACGCGTTCCCGATGTGATAATGCGTCAAGCGCGGATATCATATCATCGAGCAGAGCACGCATCGCGTCTAACCCATGGGCGGATTGGCACTCGAGCGCCGTTGTGGGTCGCGTTGGCCGCAGCGCATGTCTGGGCGCGGAGCGCGCCGATCTGTTTCCCGTCATCGCCGACGCCCCGACGCAGCCATTTTCCAATCAAAGTCGGCATTTGCTTTTCCGCGCGCCCGCGCCTCCCGCGGGCGCCCAGCGTGGCAGGCGCGGTCGGTCGCGGGCGCGGCGAGCAAAGCGCAGAGAGGCCGTCTTCGCAGCAAGCGGCAGGCGGTGCTTCGTCGGCCTGCGGCGGCGGCGCGCCGCGGGGCGCCCGCGCGGCCTGCTCCGAAGAGGGGGGAAGGCC